ATGAATACTTACTAAATTATATGCTGTCTTGAGATCTTGAAATCCTACACATCAAGACTGTTTCTGTCATGTTTTATGAAGGGTTTTACAGTGTGGGTGGTCGTGACGTCACGCAAAGCAATCGCAGTTTAGTTGTTAAGTACTGCTTATAAACAGTTTAAATAATGAAATGCATTAAGTTTAAATTCTAACAATGTGTATGATAATACAGGCTACAGATAACGATATACAGTCTAATACAGTCTAGTCACGACATAAAGCACACTTTGAGGAAAATAGTGCAGTAAATCGGGGCCGGGTGTAAGGTAAAACCATTTTTAAATGTTGGGTACCACTATCAGCTGTATCAAACGGTTGACAAGCACTCCGTATATATAACGAGACTGAAGTCTTGTTTACCACCAAGGATCCGTTTAAAATCAGAACTACGACAACTATATAACTACCACTAAATATCTTAACCTACAGTCAAGACTGGTCTATCCCAGAAAATCGCCAAACGGGATGTATTTAAATGTAAAACCCGAAATCGTAATAAAAACCCAATCTTGGTTATACTTTAAATGCTATAAGTACTTCCTCTCGTATCTAATTACTCCGAATCCCCTGCAACGCTAAGCCTGCAACGTTTCAGTAAGAGAAATACGTCTGATCGTGAATTTGCTGCATAAATTGCTTTATGGCAGGCGGCGTAATATATTAATATGCGTCGAAACTAACTTATAGAGATTAAAGAATCTAAAGTCGCTTTGCTAATACATGCTGTATTATAATTCTTTGAATTATAAGTAAGATAGTCTGTAAGATTTAATACTAAATTCTCTGCAGCAGTCGAGACTACAGCAGGTGTTTCGGCCGAGTAACTAACTCTATCAGGATTACATTAAAGCGTTAACTTAGGTCATTAACACTTAACAGGTGTCCAATATAGAGCACTTTGGTAGGAACACAGTCCCAGTTCATACTCTCTTTCACGTGTCTTATGTCCTATATTATATCACCTGTTTCATACAGTTCACCTGTTCCATACAGTTCACGTGTTCCATAAAGTTCACGCGTTTTGTTAAGTTGCCAGCTCATCTTATAATCCATATCCTTCATACAGTTCACACTTAAGTTTGCACGTGATTCATAATCACATTACAATTTACACCTATTACAGTTAGCGCTGTTGTTCCGACCACGTGGTACAATTCACGCTGGTTCCTATTTTCACGGTACGTGTTTTAACAACTCTGTGAAGTGTTGGGACAGCAGTTAACTGAGGAGCTCGCCAGAAATAGCTACGTTCGCGTTGGGTGGAACTAAATATCTCATGCAATCTCGCCCATACCTACCATAGTTGCCAAAACAAGGACATGTGTTTCATGGGCACTTGAAGGAGTTGTACTCTTCATTCAACACCCGTGACAAATTTTTCAGATACGCACGTCACAAATGCCTTTCTTGATATAATCAATGAAATTATCAAAACAATTTTCATAGATATCATTCCAAAGTTTAATTACATTCGAGCAACCTACGTATATTTATGGAGGCCCAACAAGCAACCTAAGCAATGTCAACCTCCAGTTGATGTGAAAATATTCTGTTTCATTTGTTGAATGTATGAGATGTTTTAGTTCTCATAATTAGCAACCTTCGTACATTCTCTACCTACTGAATAGAATCCACTCAATGTGACATATACAGCTGAGAATGGAGATATAAACAACGTTTCACATGACAGCGATAAAACAGTTCAAGTAAGAACAGTCACTGTATGAACATCCTGTTAACCTTCTTCAAGTTGAATATCTCACATATTCGCTAATATGCACATATTCGGATCAGGAGAGGGGACTGAGGTTGTTGATGTATTAGATGTACACAGTAAACGGGGGTATTTCAAATTTGTTGAAGAGGAGAAGGAGGGTCTTACAATCTGTTTTTATGAATATTATTATTATTTCACACGATTGTGATTTGTGATGGATAGACAATTAAAAATTTAAACGCTGCTTATCTATTAACAGCAACACATTTTCCGGATTACATGACCGATAAGAAGTTTGTTAAGTAGATACATATAACGGTTTTGATATTACTACATGGCACATTATAGGATTGAATTAATATTGTTAAATTAAAATGCTCATTTTAGCCATATATTTTAGATTTTCATCATCATTCATATTTCACACGGCCTGCTTATCGTCTCTCTAAGGATTAAGTTTTGGGAGTTGTAAATTAACTTACTGGGATAAGAAATGTCTCTCCCACACACAGTGCACCGGGCCCCCACACACAGTGCACCGGGCGACACACACCCTTTGCGATGAACAGTAAAAACTATGGCTTAATATTAGTAAAATCCAACGGTGCCTTGTACCTCCTTTCACAAAATACGAGTCATGATGAGATGCAGATTTAAGTTCAGCTTGGAGGTTTTCAAATTTCAAATATAATATCCTTATATATTTTGCCGCACAGCTGCTGCACTCGTTCACAAATATATGAAATTAAATCTACACTGTACGGCAAAACCCATGGCTTAGCGGAGAGGGATGATATTAGAAGGATCTAATGGTGACTAGTATCACCTTTCACAAATCATGAGTTATGAGATGCCGATTTCAGTCATGCTTGGATGTTTTTAAATCTAATATATAATTTATAATATATGAAACACCATTAGGCACGGCTCTCATTCGTTTACTCAAGGGTGCTTTTTATTACATTTCTTTCTTCAAAACCATAAAACTACAAAAATCTCATTAACTTTCCCAAATATAAGAAACAGGAGGGGCAAAACTAAGCGGGATCACTTTGAGGGAATTAGCCGTGAAGCTGATGACTTGCTTTTCCTGAAGGTGGATCCAAGGCAATTGCATCCTGAATTTTCAAAAAGGTGCATTGGAATGGATTCTACTGTTTGTGCAAACTTGAGCGAATATAGCAGTCACTGAGTCGAACTAGCGTGGCATGCTGACCAAGGACTAAGGACCAATTTTAAACACTTTATTTAGGGTTATTATTAAATTATATTACTTAACTGATTACCGAGCCCTATAGCAACGCTCACAACTCCTCAAATTTTAACGTCACCTTAGTCCTTCCTCACTCGGAGGATGATGTACCATCTTCAGAAGTTACCTCTCTCGTTACTCATTTGAATATCGAGTTAGGGAGGACACACACACACAAGCATCAATCTTCCCAGCTCACAGCTCCCTAAACTTGTTTACCTTACTCGGGATTATTACGACGGGTTTATTAACGACCGGTTAAAATATGGTTCGGGAAAAATATGGCGAAATTGCTCAAAACCCACCACATTTTCCCGGTCGCCATTTTACCGGTGTCAAACCTTTCAATTTTAGATTCAAAAATTTTGTCTCAGATGTAAATTTCCTTATTAGAGATAAGCAGGTTCAGAAATTTTCGCATTGCTAAAACTTGTGAAACAAGTCGAATTATCAATAATTGTTGAAAGTAGACCCTAGCAAATTCGTTGTTTTGAATTAGCATTACATGTTTACGTGTATCAAATAACCATTATGACTCAATTTGTAGAAAATCTTCGAAAGAATGCATCGTTCACATTGTTTAGAATTATGAATAAATGACTGATGAAACTGATTCATGTTATTGACCGTTTTAATTAATTCGAGTTTTAATTTAACTGTTACTTTTACTTTGAGTCCTATTTCATTATGTAGAGATAGTCAATACCTAAGAAATTAAAAATTGGCCTATTTAAATCAACTTTGACAATAAGGATATATGACAAGAATTGGGCAAAAAGGTGAATTTTTTGCAGTTTTAGCCAAATGAAGTCGAAAAACCTACAACAAGTGTCCCAATAGTCTTCTTTAGTGAATATAAGACAAAGCTGAGTCGGCGGATTTATTAACGACCGGTGAAAATGTGGTTCGGGAAAAATATGGCGAAATTACCCTAAACCCGCCACTTTATCCCGGTCATAATAATCCCGAGTAAGGTATATAGGGGGCCGATAATGCCCGCCAATGACCACTGTGCAATTCAGGTATTAAGTTTAATTACGAGCAATAAGGGTGGTCTGTGAAAGAGAGGGAGAGAAAAAGAAGGATGGTCTGTGATGAGTGATGACAGTGTTTATTTATAGCGAGTGAGGGGATGTTTGGTGGGAATGAGGCAGGGTGGTAGTCATGGTGGGAGACTGGAGGGGAGACTGGAGGGGAGACGTTATAGTTTGCTGGTTCTGGTTGTAGACGTCAAGTAGACAGATCAATAACCCGAGACTCTGCCTCTAATTCGATAACAACTACAGTTTATTATACATGCTTTTTACCTGCGTGAACAATAAAAATATCATATCCACAATTCGTTAAGACACACTGTAATCTAGACAGGCTCGAAATCAATGATCCGCAAGTTACCTAAATGATCGGTGAGAGGGTATTGTGGGAATATCTTGGGTGCCGTGTAAAATCGGTCATATTGGCAGTCTAGACTCAGGATCTTTTCCACCCACCAACTTATTGATACAGCATGTTTCCTTACTTTTCACGGCTTCCCACACAAACTCCCCCCATTATTTCTGGCGTTTTATAGTTTTACGGTGTCCCTGTCTCTATTATTGTAACGTGTGTTACAGACTGGGAACAATTGTAACAGTCTGTGTCACATCTGTAGAGTTGCGACTATTTACAGGTTGTCACACTAGACATGTGTGATTGTGTGATATTACGTGTGATATATACAAATGTGTGATACCACCCATTGAACGTGTCAACATTATAGTGCATTAACCTACTGCTTTTAACAAATTGAGGTATTATTCCGCGTGTTAAAAGTGATAAATTACCTGATGTACTGCATACTTTAATCAAAAGCTGTGAAACTGAAGAGAAACGGAAAGCCAAGTAACGCCAAATTCCAAGGTGAATATTTGCTGCCAACCAACGGCAAATTCCGACAAAAAACTTACAAATTCCCGGTTAAATTCCGGGGGAATAAGGTGGGGTGTTACTCACTTGGAGGTGTCAGCTTGTGGGTTGATCCCGTCAATGTTGAGGGTGGGACAGTGTATAAGGAGGCCCAGCTGGGACAAAATACAGACCAAACCGATAAATGCTTGCCATTTAGCACACTGTAGACCGTTCAGCTTCCTGTACTGAAAATATATTATGTTATCATTTAGTTATTATTAAGTTATCATCAAGTTCTTATTAAGTTCTTATATTAAGTTATTATAAAATTGTTAGATTATTACGTTATTATCATGTTATTAAAACAACTTAAATTATTAGGTTACAACGACAAATCAGTGAATTACATAATCTTAATCTTATTATTATTATTATGTGTTAAAAGCTTTAAAGGACGGGCTTTAGCTCCGGTAAAGAGGAATATCTGAGGTAATTACTAAATAACTGGTATCCAGTTCTCGGTGACTCTCAGACATGGTCAAAAAGCAGTTGTGCCCAGTATAGCTAAGTCCAGCAGTCAACGTAATCAAGCACTACATGACAACTCATTTGCAGTCACTGGACCTCGATTATGGAATGTAATCCCAACACATATGCACACCATCGAGGATCCTATGCAATTCAAAGCGGCTTTAACGAACTTTGTGAAGTCATTTCCGGACGAGCCTCCAGCTCCAGGATACAGCCGTCGGAATGGAAACTCCTTGCTTGATTGGAGTGGTGATAAAACAGTTTCTACACTGTCCGGGGGGTCGACTTTTTCGATGGCCCGATAGAGGATTCTATGAAACCCTACAAAGTAACAAAGTAAGTAATTGTTTCTAATTGAATGTGGTTTTTAGAACTTTTCCAATGATCATCAGTGAAAATAATGCCGTCTTTAGATTCCTAAGAATGCTCATTTCGGAGCCGGATAATGAGCCGGATAATGAGATTAAAATTAAGGAAAATCCCGAAACTCAGGTTAGTAGGGGGAAGATTCAAGAAATATTTTGCAATCTCTGTTTGTGGTTTTGAATCCACGTGTTCATTTTTGAAACTCTATACAGTTAAACCAGTCGGCAAATTGAGCACCCTAAAGTATGATGTTGTTAAGACTGGACGTTTGCCGTGAAAATTTATCGAGTTAGAACTTCACGTACATTTTACAGGAGCTCAAAACGGTCAAATTTCAACCAATTTTATGAGAAGTCCGACTAGTAGGCACTCTAAGTCATTAAACTCGTCCTGATGTTTGATAAAACACAGTGCAGGGGTAAAATGGTCTGTCTGTGATTATTACTTTCAGCACGTCTTGGTGGTTGATAAAACATTGTGATAAACGGTTTATAATTTGTGTATGTGAATTGTGATACCTTTTATCTTTTGAGACAAAGTGTGCCACAAAGGAAAATTAATAATTGTAATAATTTTGTCAAAGACGTTCAAGGCTCCTTGATATCAGATATATGCCACCAGGCACCATTCAAACCAAATCAGGAGTCAGTTTTCTGATTATCTTGTCGGTGAAACTTTGAGAAAAGACTCAGTCAGGCAGAGACCTGGGACAGGCAACCTTAGAAATACTTTAAATTCCATCCGTAATGGAAATACAAATGCATGTGCTTTGGTGTTTTGGTATCATGAGCCAGTGTGCTGGGGTGAATCGCTGTTAAAAATGCGGCAAATGAATCCCTGCCTTTTTGTTGGTCTAGTACCAACTTGCTCTTGGTACTAAAAACAATGTTCAGAGCACATATACGGCAAACATATTTGGTAATGCTTTCGTTACATAGCTACTCAATACTCGTGCAATAAACTCTGACCTAGTGTTATGAATCTACTTTTTATAACGTATTCAGCTCGGTAGATATTAGATAATTGACGGGTGTTTCACGTCTAGTTCAAATTAACAGACTCCCAAGTGAGCTGAGTTGACGTAAGTTATGATAAAATCAGACAAATAAGTGAAAATGTCAGTAATTTGAACTCTGAGGTGTGATGTGTTTTCGAATTAAAATCTGCCGGGGTTGAATAGGGCATAATACCTTCAAATCAAAACGTCAGTTTTGAACAACATGATTTCAATATTGTTGTATATATAGCGTAATAATTGTAAATTTTAGAGTCATACTCTCAAAGTCTGGAAAAACGGCTCCAATGATCTCGGCAGTCGCTTTAACGCTCACAGAATTTGTCTGTATTTTCCTCCATACTTCATTGAAGAATTTAATATTACCGAATTTGAGCATATGACCCGATAAGATTGTCTCAAATTTTGTTAAATTCCGTATACTATACTATTACGCTGTCTTCTCTATCGGCCCTAAAATTAAAAGTGACAGACAAAGTTCGAGCCCTAAAATTAAAAGGGGTCAGACGAGCCCAGGGCACGGCTGTATCATTTAGTCTAGTTTGTAATGTATGTGCGATTCATCATGAGGTGACTGGGCTAGCACTGGTACTAGGTGGCACCAGTAACGTAATTAAATAATGTTCATTCAGACAACTTGATAATGTGAACACCCAGAGGACGTTTAAAGGAGAATTTATCGCTCGCCCTCGGATCGAATTTCGGACAATGGCTTGAACCAAAATAATCGCAAAATCTGTGCATGCGTCGGTGTTAAAAATGATATTCGCTAAAAATACTTACTTACTTTAGGTACTTTAGGTTGGTTTGGCAGGGATTGCTTCTGGACAACAGTAACTAGTACGTCCTCCATTCATTCCTGGTTCAGATCTTTCTGTAGATTCCATTCCAGGAGTGAGTTGTTGGTGATGGCGGTGTATCCTTTGGTTGGCGGGGTATCGGGAAACGTCTCCAAAAATCGAGCAAGTAATACCTTGAAGGGTCCTAGAGCAGTTAAAATGTTCACTTGTCGTGGGAGGAGGTTCCATAGTCTCGCTGCATTCACTCCAAAGGAATTCTCGTAATGAGTGGCCACTGATCGTTGCGATTTGTTGTTCAGTGGTGGGACTATGGCTTTTATGCCATGTCGAGCGTTTTCCTTGAATACCATGTTGATGTCATTTGGAGCAAGGTCGTTTGCCATCTTCCATGTATGGATCAGGATGTATCGCTCTCTCCGCCTCTGCAGGGAGAGCAGGTTCAGCTTCTTAAGACGGTCCCAATAGTCCAATTGCTGACAACCTATGATACGGCGAGTGTAGTTCCTCTGAACATTTTCGATTGCTTCTATATCGGTGATTTTGCTGGGGTTCCAGACCGGGCAACAGTATTCTAGCCTGCTCCTCACCATTGTTTTGAAAAGGGTGAGCATCAGGAAAGGTGATCTGTCACTGAAGACACTGAAAACCCACGATGCCATTTTCTTAGCAGTTTTCAGCATCTGATGGATATGGGGCGTCCATGAGCAGTCATTTGAGAGGAGTACTCCAAGGTCTCTGACTGTTTGCGTTGGTTCGATAATTTCCCCGTTTGTTGAGCTGTAGCTGTAGTCTTCGTTGGAGAAGGGAAGTTCTCTCAATAGCAGGGATTTATTCAGCTTGTAGTTGATAACTTCAAATTTGGTTTCGTTTAGCTGCATGTTATTTTGCAGGGCCCATTTGATGACATTAAACAGATCTTCTTGAAGCAAACACCTTGCTACTAAATCAGTAATTTTGCTTATAAGCTTCGTGTCATCAGCAAAGACCTTTCCAAGAGCAGTTAATAACGTGTCCAGTTGGTCATCTATATACAGAATAAACAAGATTGGACCTAACACAGTTCCCTGTGGGACACCACTTATCACAATCTGGAAGGACGACTTTTCTCCTTCGACGACCACTGTCTGCAGGCGATTCTTTAAGAACTCAGCAAGCCACTGTAGAGTTTTGCCCGTGATACCGTAGCGTTTGGCTTTAGCTAGAAGAATGTTGTGATCCACTTTGTCAAACGCCTTGGCGTAATCAAGGTATATAACATCCACTTCATCGCCACTATTGAGGGTCTTCAGAATATTGTCTACATGGTCCAAAAGTTGAGTGAGGCAACTCCTTTTTTTACGGAAACCATGTTGGTGCGGAGACAAAAAGCTGTTTGATTCCATGTGCTGGACGATGTGTTTTCTTAGCACTCTCTCGAAAATCTTGATTAGATGAGACGTGATGGAGACTGGGCGGTAGTTGGCTGCTGATGTGCGGTCTCCCTTTTTGTATATTGGTGTTATATACTGGGTCTTCATACTTGGTGGTATTACTCCTGATCTAAACGAATCGTGCCAAAGTAAAAATATAGGGACTGCAAGGCTATCCTTACACTTTGTGAGAACTTTAGCTGGGATATCTCCATCAGGAGTTGAAGAGTAGGGATCCAGTTCTTTAATGGCTTCTACTATGTCGTCCACAGTGAAGGTTATGCTGTCCAGATTTCTATCTGGGACGGGGTTTAGTCCAGCAAGGCATGCGTCGACGTTGGCGGCGTTGGGGTCGCTGAATACTTTGACGTATTGCGCCTGGAGAAGCTCTGCTTTGTCAATTGCGTCCGTTTTCAGAGTCCCACTATTATCTCTGATGGGGGAGACAGACGACTTCGTCTTAGCAAATCGTTTTGCATAGCTGTAAAAGAAGCGTGGATTCGTTTTGATAGTGCTTACAGCTTTAGCTTCATTCTCATTCAATTGCTTAGTAATCAGTTCGCTAATTTCAAATGTGAGTAGGCTCACTTCTTTACTCAACTTAGCAATGTTTTGAGAAGACGGGTTTCTTTCGGTGAGGGCTTTAATGCGTACATTAAGTTTTCTTCTTCTTCTTTTAAGAACATACTTGTCTCGCTGCTGGCGGCTTTTGCCGGTTGAGGTCGAACTAGAATCTGCTGTGTTGTTTTGTGTATGACTATGGAGGAATTATCATCTTTGTTTTCAAGAAGGGCATTTCGATTCTGGGATTTGAATTATCGTTTAATGAAATTTAAAAATATAACGTATTTTAAAATATTATAAGGAATTGATGTGTAAAATCTAATTCTATTAACTTTTTAAACCAAACAAAGATTTTCTTTGACTTAACAATTCCGTTAATCTTTCTAAAATGTCATCACTAAGCGAAACTAAGGATGCTTCTTTGCATCCTGCCCCAAGATTATCAAATAAATTTCTGCATACGTTACGTATCATCGGGTGTTTGATATTTTAAAGAAAAGTTTTAAGGTTATCTTTTAACAAAACAGGAGAATGATTTGCAACATTTTTGTAACTTCAGGAACATACTGGTCACGCTTAGATACCAAGAGCATCTCGAGGTTTTTGTATTAACTTAATAGCCACTCACAATTACCTACCACACACAATATTTTATAAGTCTTTAAGTAACACAACTGTTGCATAATGTGGTCAAATGTCAGAGCAACATCACCAAATTGCGTTCTGACCATCACAAGGTCCCCTCAATACGAGGTCCCCTCAATACGAGGTCCCCTCAATACTTCAATACGAGGTCCCCTCAATACGAGGTCCCCTCAATACGAGGACCCCTCAATACGAGGACCCCTCAATACGAGGTCCCCTCAATACGAGGTCCCCTCAATACGAGGTCCCTTCAATACGATGTCCCCTCAAGCTATATTTAAAATTGTAAGTGTCTTGAAAAGCAGCTGCGGTTGACGTTTCTTATCGTTAGCAAGTAACGAGACACAAAAGTACATGCTATCAAAAAGCTATTTTGTTAATAACCATGGAGTATGGACATGCAATGCATGATATTAAGATTATCAATGTTACATCATATCAGGCAACTTGTCTTGTAGACTTGGCAAGTTTCGTGTCGATGTTAGAATTATGTGTGTATGAAATGGTGTGTGGTTGATTTGTAAGATGGTACATTGTGTATGTGGTTAAGATAAACAACACTCAGTTTACTTCGTGTCTTGTTTTATGTTTACTTTCAGGACCATTTTAATTTTTAACTTGAACTATAAAACCACATGATAGTTAAATATAAAACCGCTAACCACTGCATATTATCAAATTATAGTGATGGCGACCGTGTGTTGAATTTAACTTAGCGTTAATACGAAATAATTGTAGGTATAAAACACTTCGCAAGTTTAAAATACAATAACCTCGGTTCTAATTTTGATTTTGAGGAAGGGTTAAAGATCGTCGACTGACAAGGAATGGATGATTATTAAATTACTTTGAAGATTTACGACGAATGACCGGCTGGTTTTCAATTAATTTATATAGTAACATACTGTGTGTACTATATAACGATATTTTAGAATTATGTGGTATGATACACGTAATACTAATATAACACACCTACACTCTACAGTGTACAATGTACATTATAACTGTACGATAGTTGAAAATGCAGAAGCCTCATGTTGACTAAAATGTGATTGTTTATTTGTGTCGACAAAGTGAACCTATCTTTCTTAAGAAACAGCATTATATGTAACAATATATATTTTTTAATGTAAGCTTTGGATATCATATTAATATTATATTTTTGGTATTAAAGTAGACTTAAAGCCTTTAACGGAAGATGCCACATATCGAAAGATGCCATATAAATTATAACAGGATAAATGGCAATGAAAACATCAGTAATATCATTTCCGCTTAATTTCTTAAATGTCCTGGTTGAAATTCCACGTCACTAACGGTCATTCGCTTTAATCGTTTGAGAAGATACCTAAATACAGTTACGTATAAAATCATATTTTGGAGTCATGCGCAGCCAGAATTTAACCGTTTCATTTTGCAGAACGCATTACCAAAATACAGATCATATTAGTGTAAAAGTTAGAGGGTTATCCTTCTATAATCGACTGTGAATTTGTTAATCTATCATTAGCCCCTGGTTCAAATCGTAAGGAAAAGTTATGTCATACTGAGCAATAAAAACCATGAAACGTCTTCAAGTCGCTTCCTGGCCGATCCTGATGTCCTAACTTGCTCAAGTGTAAGGAGTAAGGATGTATTACATTATATTCTATGAGGGAGCTATCATGACTAACACTAACAGCTACACGGTTAACAATGATATTGGGAAGAAAGTAACGAGAGACCTCTCAGACATATTTTAGGATTTCCAACATTAATTAACACTACATGCCTGATAAACATATTGTAAGCTACATTATTTGACAAACCTTGACTATAATCCCGCTGACTATAATTCCTCCCGCTGCTCCAGGAACTGTCACACCTCCGGTTATATAGGCTGCTATAGAACTTGACACTCTGAAAAAAAAAAACAGTGGGATCATGTAAAAGTTCAATATATATATATATAATATCATCGGCTAATGACATAATAAGGAGAAACAAAGCTTTATCATGATTTATTGTCAGTGGTTGTATAGAATACTTCAAATGTTGGGTTATAAAGCCAGACAAGCAGGATATGAGAAGTAGTCTCTACTGCACATATTACACCCGGTAACCATGGGTACGCCATCACACGCAGCGCTACTCTTCATCAGCTCACTCAATCAACATGGCTCAGATGCCTCATATGGAATAAACATGGCTACATATTGTAGCTTATCGTGTGATTTGTTAATGAAGAATAATGTTCTGAAGAAAATTGTCGTTTTTTGCAGTGCCACGCCTTTAACAATGACGGGTACTATGTAAAGAGGCGATTATCGCGTCGTTTAGAAACAATAATTTAGGCCACCATTGTGCCACTGGTTTTATCTTTTTATTTATCTGATCTCCGTACCGACTAATCTTTCAGAGTAATCAGAACACTCTGGATGTTTAGTTTATCATATCTCTTGGATTGTTACATTTAAATTACAATGTTCTCCCCTATAATTGTGTCTTCACTGGACTACACTATATTATATTATAGTATATTATATAGCCACGGACCCTCAACAATGGTATGTTTCAGGGTTAGCACTTAGAACTGGGGCATAATAGGGACAGGCTGAGGTTGTGGGGCACAAATAAGCAAGGTCATTATGTTTAGTATTTAAAATCACTATTCACCATCACTACGTAACCTTTAAAATATATATTATAATATTCCTCCAACAATCAAAATCTTAACTCTGGTAAAATAATAATTAATGGATTCAGGATAGCTCTTAAGTCATTAAATAGGGATTTTAAGGCTCAAACTCGATTATGTCTAAATCAGATCCCTGTTATATCTCACAGAATACAATTAATATTTATTTAGTCAACTTGTTACTTGTACTAACCCGAACTGGGACTCTACCATCTTTGGTAGCCACGCAGCAAAAGCGGAGATAATCAGAGAATCAGTGATAGACCCAAGAACTATCAGAACGAACACGGGGTTCATGAGGACTCCCTTGAGAAGGGGGAGCATGTCTTTTAGCAGGGCCAGGAACGTATGGTCCTGAAATGGAAGTATCTCTATTTAAGCTTTACAATTAAATACCACTGATTTAGTTATGTGGAATGTGATTGGTAAATATCAGCGTTAAGCATGCTTAATTTTAATGAGGATATAATTGGAAGACATGTTCGTAAGATGATTGGACTGATTTGATTTAATGTGATTGTTCATTTTTCTTATCGATTTGGCATTTCAGCTTCTGGTGCAACTAATTCACTCTAGATAAACCTGGTCTCAAATACAGTACAATGTTCACAATGTATACAATGTATAGAATCTCACTAAAATATTAGCCATTCATTAAAAAACTGGTCAATTCTTATGGGAGGATCTTTAATATAATTTGCTTTTTCGTTTTTTAATAAAAATGCGATCATATGCTTTTGTTGAAAGGATTAAAATTGATTATTTAATATCAAATTTAACAAAGAGAAATTTGCATTTAGGGATAATACGTTATATTGTACTGATTGCTGCAGTTCTTACAACACATTTAAAAGCCAGGAGCTATTGTTTCAGTTAATGACCGTGACCACTTCGCTACTACCAGCTGGCTACAAATCTACAGGGTGTTGTCTTGCAATATCTTTATAAACAAGGCAAACATATAGGAAAACTTTCCCATTATTCTAATCTAGACAACGACATGACGTTTAGATTACATTGTACATGAAATTTACAAGTGTGACAACGAATTTAGCCTTCAACTAAAGTTTCAAAAGTTGTTGAATACGAAAGATTTCACATACTGACGCAAAAACTTCTTTATTGCGGTTTAATTTCTTTTCTAGAGGCGTTTTTCAGTTCTTCGACACTTTTGGGCACAGGATCTCTTATAAACAAGGCTTTACAGACTTAAGGGCTTAAATCAACCTAAAGAGGAAAGAACTTTTTTTGAGAAGACACAAAGGGTTTAAATCAGGACTATAGAGTGGCCAGGCAAACTCACATTGTTCGTACATCCTTGCAGGGTTTTTGAAACACCCTGTAAAACATATCAAGTATAGGAAAACTTTCCCATCATTCTAGTATCAAGACAATGACATGATGTTTAGATTACATACATGAAAGTTACAGGTGTGACATCGAATCTACCCTTGAACTAAAGTTTCATTTTAATCAGCACACGAAAGTTTATCAACTAATTTGCGCTACATGATATATAATTATACATTGTACCAATATTTAACAAGTCAATAATCAATAGGAAACACTGACAAGCTAATCCAAGAACGCACACTGAAAAGTGATCTTTACATAGAAAACATGAATTACCAGAACTACAATATAGCATACAACAACAAAAAAACAGGGTTATAAAATAAACCACATCTAGCAAGCATGCAGTAGACGTATATAACCCCAGCTAGGTTTTAGCTGTCTCTCTCACCTCAGCAACGGTAGCAGCCTCATTAGTAGGGGCCTAAGAATGTAGAATGCTATTATTGATCAGAGGCAAAATCACAAACATACCACAAGGGGGGGGGTGTGTAGGAGATGTGTAAAGACAATTCATGAAAATCACTCATGAAAGCATGCAGGCACACTGTGCTGCATTCAGTGCCGTCAAAAATCGAGTTATTTGACAGGAAAAAATGACGGAGGCAGGTAAAGACCATGGGAGAAAAAAGGTATTGCAGAGTGATGGTTAACTTAAATAAATCGATTTTACCTCCTCTCCATTTGCAATTTGGATGTTCAACTCAAGCTTCTTTCGTTTCACGTCTTCACACTCTGGTAGCTGCAGGATTAATCAAAGAATGTGACTTCAAATTTTATCATATATCCGCAATAGAAAGGTTATTTCATATTATTTTCATTGCCGAACTTAATATTCCACTGAATTGGCAAGAAATTTGAGACTTTAAACATGATACATTCCAGACGTACCTGTGCAGGAAACAAGAGTAGGAGAAATCCGAAAATGTATCCAATAAGTGCACAGATAAGAAATCCAAGCCACCATGCCCCCACCCAGTTTGCATTATCTACAGTCAAACCTTCTGGTGGTTCACCCAGACTTTTGTAAAATCCCAGAAATAGTCCACCCAGAATGTATCCCACAGCTGGAGCTACGGCACCGATTCCATAAGATATTCCGAAATATACACTCACTTTTAGAGGTGAAAAGATTTCATCACAAAAAGTGGTACCAGCCGTGTACACAGGTGAAGCACCAAGCCCAATTAAAATTGAACCAATTGTTAATAATGTATAAGCACCAGAATTACCCATCGTTTCGTCAAGGCAGTCACTCTTAATTTCTGAATTTGTGGAATCTGATGTTTCACATAAATACATTTTATCTGAGTTCTTTGCTTCCACTATATTGTCTCTTCCATATATAAAATGAGGAAGTGCAAAGAACAAGGCTCCTGTAGACAGCAAGATCATTCCAATGCCCAAAGTTCTTGGTTTGTGCGAACTACCAAAATGAGCAACAACAAGCACTGTCACAGCTACTGCAATATCATAATTACTGGGGAACAATGCTGCTTTTGCACTTGACATCTGGAATTCCACTTGGATGGTGGTCAGAACAACGTTCAAGAAGCCTGAGACTAACATAGACTGAGCAGCAATACAGCCACACCAGAGGAAAAAGTAAAAATGGGGGGTAAATATCCGTCTTTTCTTCTCTTTCATTTCATCATCAGATGTGGACACTGCTAATGATGCCATATTTCTGAATAATAGTTTGTGTCAACAAATCATTACAATCATTACAATACAGGGGTTTCAATATCAAGGACACCTGAAAATTCGAATAGGAAAACAAATTTAAATTGTGGTATTTATTAATAACAATCAAAACATATCATATCATAAAAATAAAGCTGTGCGTTGGTTGACTGCCTCAGTAAGGTGGATAATTTAAGCTTGAAGGTGCCCCGCGCATTTACAGAACCTCATGCGGCGATCACATGATCATGAGGACCTGTGAGCACCAAATTTAATTTAAAGTTTCTAGAAATCATACATGATCACTACAAGTTACTCATACTCAATAAAGCCAAAACAGAAATTATTCTATACCAAGGCCAACAGTAAGTACATAGTGTTATTATTCTATGCAATCAAGCTAGAAGTTAGTAATTATAATTTTACAGTAGGATTTCTCGGAATTCTGAGTTCAAGGTGTAAAATCAGGCCTCAACGTTTTTGAAATATTTGTGTATAAAAGTTCAAACAAATTATCGATTTCAGACTTAAAATGCAACTTTGAAAGCATCCGTTATTTTGAAATAATTTGTACATTATCGTAATCAGCTTTATGGGACGAAACTTTTAGTAACAAATTTATGATTACTGAGAAAAAAAATAAATTGAACACATTTAAAAAATTTGTTCCAAAGAATTTGTTACTAAAAGAAATATTGTTTGGCGCTATTACAAAATGAAGTCGAGATAGTGGTGTCAGTAGAATGGTAGTAACAGATATTATGTTATATTATAAATATCTTCTCCCTTTGTATATAGTAACATACAAATTTGAATTTTATTGCCATTACAATGAATAATAATATCACAATAAATATAAGTAAACATCCGATAATAAACTTGTTAGAACCAGTATAGCCCAAGATGCTCTACTAACAAATAAAAAGAACTTGCAGGTTTCTGACGCGCATGCATAGGCCATACTGATCTAGCTATAATTCTACGTCATAGTAAATACTCTACATCATTTTTAAATACAAAAATAAATTTAATCAATTAAATAATATCAACATGACAGTCAATATAACCGAAAATATTCTGATCGGAAATATGTAAAGGAAATTTATTTTTAATTCTTTTGCTGCTGGCTGCAACTTACGCTCGGCACCGCACCAAAAATTCGCGGTGCCGCGCCTAAACTCTAAATATTGTTGAAAAAACGAAATTTAACGAGATAATTTAGCATGCTGACCTCGTGGGATATTACAATTATACCCGTTCTGGTTCCAGACGTAGGTTAGTACTTAAAGGGCGTGTAAATGTGAGATTTGACTTTCGTATATTAATAACATATATCTTTCCTTGAATTCAGAATGGTCTCCTAAGTAATTACATCAAACAACGAACTTTCTAGCACACAAATTACGCTAGATATCGCTTGCTTACTCTAATTCAGTCGGAACGTCAAAGTGTCTCCCTTTCTACTGCCTACTATCAATCTACGTGTTACTGCAGTCTTTGTATATGATTTGTGGCTGCTTTATTTTACTATTTTTAGGCATTTCAGATTTCCAATTTCGTTTAAATTTTTAAATACTCTTAATATTGAAGTCATTATTGTAACGGTATATTAGAACCAGACAGAAACAAAGTGTGAAGGGCCTAAACGGAACCCCTCGGTTTCAGTTCCTTGCCGTACAGCAAGGACAGCAATATGAGATTCTCCTGCATTAAAAACTTAAGTCAGTTTGCCGGTTTCACTATTATTAAGTTTATATGCAATTCATAATGTCATTGTTGGCCCTCATACCCTAACATGTATATTTTGCCTGTATTCTCGTTTTAGTTACCGTCTTATTTTCTACTTCTGTTGAAACTGTGCTTGAAGTAAAAATATAAAGAAATTTGCAGAGGTGACAAGTTCGATGAAGCTTAAACTATAAAACTGTAAAATTATAATTCCGTAAATATCTGACATTGCTATTCTAAACCCTAGTGTTTATTACACCTTGCTGAAAATCAGCATAGTGACCGTCTGGTGAAGGGTATAGTTCTCTTATCCTCTTCACAACACATGATGGGAGAGCATATCTCCGACCCTTTCCGATAAATCTAAGACAGCAAATTTGCAAAAAAGTTCCGTAAGCAATGTGTCTCAGGCTTTCTGGTTTAATTTTGCCTTCCATATCTCGGCAAATCTTTTTGCACACGGGAAAATTGGAGTCATTTCACAGCATGAAGCTGTTGTATTTGCCAAAACTACACAGTTTTGAAATGCAAACAATGATTATCCTTACAATGTAGGCAGCCTCTCAAAATAACCTCTGCGTACAAGGAGGAAACCTGCTGAAAACCTATATATGTAGAGCCTACTCCAGAGCGAATAAATCCTATGTCCTAAAAAATAGAAATCTATATGACAATCTAACATTTAAGAAAGCCATTTTATTGAACGTCGATGAAAACATTAAAAACTATACTCTTCTTCCCTTCGACTTACATAATACCTCATATATCATTAAAGACATTCCTACGACGTTCCATGGGCTAAAACCCCCTGACAAGAAACTTATGATTGATCAACAGATGTCACGGATCAAAAAGTAATCATTGTTCGATTTAATAACTTTTCAATTATCATTATTTCCTTATGTTTGTCTCCTGTGTGACACTGACGTGTAATTGTATACTTATTTATGTAACTTTCTGTTAAACCTTCAAGCAAAATATTTGTTTTGTGGCTAATCGGGAAAATAAAAGGTTAATCTAAGAAAATAAACATAGCATAGACAACAAAAGTTTGGAGAAACGTAGCAGACACACAAACACAGCTAGAATTGAGAGTGCTTGCTAATGGAGGAGACACCATGACGTATACAGTCATTTTTTATTTTAGCGCTAGCGGGGTGAAGGAAGTAGATAGAGACTTCAAACTTCGACTAAACTGTTGCTGTAATTAAACTTTTGGATTACAGAGCACTAAACATGTGTCGTAAAAATCGCATTTACTCACCCTTTAAAACAAAAGCAGTTGACAAAAGGAGCCAGTTGCCTGTGAGAGCTTTACTAGCACCCGATTTACCTCTGGGGCACACACCCAGGCCTAAAACCAGCCAAACACAAAAATATATTATCATCTCTAGTGGGTGGATTGATTCACAGGACATTTATCAGCACGCAGCTGCCGCAGTAATATGAAGTTTATTACATCGTCTCGCAATTTCAAATTGAAAGACCATTGGGACTTCTATGAACAAAATCATAAAATTTCAGAATCTTATTTTTAAAAGAATATTGAATTCTAACAGAGGTACAGTTCTTCAAAATAGGGACAAGAAATGTTGACTTCGTCGCATCATTTTGTGACCATGTTAATATCAAAAGTCCTCTCTAGAATCAGAATCAACTGTATCATCCATACTCCTTATATGGATTTTTCCCGCTTTTCAAACTAAAAGCAGATTTACCCCACTTATATACTCAACAAATGGCGGATGGGGTCCACAAGCCACAAGATACCACAAGAGACTTGCTGAAAAACTATCCCAGAAGAGAGGAGAAGACTATGCGGCTATTATGTGTTACATGCGCACCAGGATTAGATTCTCAATCCTCAGGAGCACCCTGATAGCGGTCAGGGGTGAGAGAGGGAGACGGCAATCGTATACATTGCCAGTCAGTGTAACTTCGTTTAACTTGATACCTGCCACCATGGACTATGAATGTTTCTAGACACTATCCTTTTGATATTGAGATATTGGTATCTCAGATCACGTGTACATCATTCCTTTTTTATGACAGTAATTTATTGATATGAATGATTTCGACAATAAGTAAGTAGGTAAGTGAAAAGTCTATAAAATGTGACAGAATTAACCTCATTTCCCAATAACCAAGTGTGTGTATTACGCAATCATTCAAAACAGTGCATTTTAGTGCCAAAGTTATCCAAGTATTCAATGAAACAATAAATTTTCACAACAATAAATTTTATTTCTAAGCAGTGCATATGGGAGTATTATATGGGTCACGTGGTTAACGTTCAGAACTTCTGGACGTGCTAGGTTAATTACAGATGCCAAAATTAAGCCACTATTGTGGCTTAATTTTGCCTGGTGAATGAGCAGCTTCGATAAAAACGGATTCGGAAAAGTCAATGCGGCACTCGGGTTTCTGATATCATTATCGGTATATTGTCCATTATCTGCGTTCTGTTTTCGTAATTCATAGTTTCAACAATAGTGAGTTCTAAATATTATACAACTTTTTATTAACCGACTATGTATGAATGAATGAAATACCTGAAAATCCGCTCTACTATAAGTCAAAAGCATAAATAACTCGTAATAGAATGATTCTTAAAAACTTTAAATAAAATTTGGCGCTCACAGCTAGGTCCTTGTGATCACGTGATCGCCGCCGGGCCACGTAAGCTTTTGAAAATGCTCAACGCGAACGCACCTTCAAGCTTAAATTATTTATTTTACTTTGATGTAGCCAACTCGCTTTTGGCTTTATCTAAAGTCCTTGGGCTTGCAGTAGCGCGCACCCGCCGTTTTTACTTTAGCTTTGTACTTGTGAAACCAGCGCGGCCGCAGCGGCGCAAAAACACATGGTTAGGTGAAGTAGCCAACCAACGCGTGGCTTTATTTTAAAGATATGATATGTTTTGATTGTTATTAATAAATACCAAAATTTTAAACTTGTTTACCTAAAACTTGTTTTTTTTTTGTTTATCAATATCTTCAAATGAACGTGTTCACAAACAAAGCAAAGGCTTGTCATACGTTGTTGACCTGCCGCGCAAGAGTGCGCGGCGCGGCTGTATCGCGTAGCCGCGACACATAGTGAAACGACAATGGGGGTCAAAACGTGATACAATGCGCGGCCATATCATGGCTATTCGAGTGCGCGGCGGGTCTACAACGTATGATGCAAGTGTAACTAGCGTTGCAAAGCAAAATTGTCCTTTTTATTTGAAGGTTTTTTAGTTCAAATTAATTTATGATTTCAGCATTTAGACATTTAAGCATGCAAAGTCATTGATCTGATGCGAGTTTATAAGTTTTGTTTTCTCTAAATATTTGAAGTATTCGAAGAAATGGCAAGACGGGCCCAAAATATTCAACAATGTTTTCCTTTACAAATTCAACAAGTTAGACGTATAAAAAAACTATTTTTATGGTGCTTTATGATCAAATTATTAAAGTACTTTTAATAAATTTATTTATTGTTTAAGTTTGCCTACTATACAATAGTATGTACACGTTGTACGTGTAATGTAAATATAGTGTGGATAAATGCGAATATATGGACACGTTCATTTGAGTTTGAGGATATTGGTAAATATAAGTGACCCTATTAAAAGGCACAGTGTAGTTGACTGTGTCACACTATGAAATTACATAAACCCTTGATGGTTAGGATAATCGTCTCATCTTCTAGGCTAACTTTGTCACATAACGATATCTTAATCAGGTGATAAGATATCGCTTAAATACGGCCGGCACGGAAATGGTTACATTGTCACGCTATAAACATGTGACGGAGTAAATATGGACCCCTTGCTGACGTTTTTGACCAAACTTTTGTGTGTCCAGTTGATTGGATGGGTACATATGACCATTGCCTACATATTTGACGACTTTTTTCGTTAGATGGCGCACTCAGGTTTACTCTGTCACACATTTAAGAAAATATGTGAACAATGTTTAGGGCACCCTGACAAGCAATGCTGAGTTGTGTAGGTTTATTTGATGGCCTGGAAGTGCTGGGAATCGTTAATATCACATAGTCGTAAGGAATTAAAACACAAAAGGCACAAACAAGTTTACTTTGTCACATAAATAATAATTACAACATTTATAAACCGCCTTATAGCTAATAATAATCTTGATGATATCTGAACATATTGTGTGAAAGTCAACAAATAATGATATAACAGCTTGAACCCCTTATATTACGTACTATGGATAAAAAACACTGCTAGTACCATGCACCAGTTACATAAATCATTACCAGGTGGTAATATGTTAACAGTGTCACAATTAAACTACCGCAACATGGTCAATAATAGGGTAATTTCGTCACAAACAAATTATTATAACTCAGTTAGCTCCTTGCTGGCAAAATAACTAGTTTAAATCAAAATGTTTTTGATTATGAAGTTACATAGTATTCTAATAGAGGTATATAGTTCTTCAAAATAGGGGCAAGACATGTTTACTTTGTCACATCAGTTATTATAAGAGTTAGGTAATCGTCATAAGATTAACAGATCTTTTTTGTAGTTTGGATCGATTAATATAGGCAATAAAGCAGCCTATGCTAATTTTAACACACTATCTTGATATTGTTGGGACAGGGAAAGTTAATTTTGTCACATTTTTAGTGACTTTGACAAATTTAACAAAAGATTGTCAAACTTGACCTCTGATGTTCTGGAAAGTGTTCTATTAATCTTTTTGAAAAAATTTTGAATTCTAATAGAGGTATAGATCTTCAAAATAGGGGCAAGACATGTTTACTTTGTCACATAAGTTATTATAAGAGTTAGGTAATCGTCATAAGATTAACAGATCTTTTTTGTAGTTTGGATCGATTAATATAGGCAATAAAGCAGCCTATGCTAATTTTAACACACTATCTTGATATTGTTGGGGCAGGGAAAGTTAATTTTGTCACATTTTTAGTGACTTTGACAAATTTAACCAAAAATTGCCAAACTTGACCTCTGATGTTCTTGACAGTGTTCTATTAATCTTTTTGAAAAAATTTTGAATTCTAATAGAGGTATAGATCTTCAAAATAGGGGCAAGACATGTTTACTTTGTCACATTAGTTATTATAAGAGTTAGGTAATCTTCATCAGATTAACAAATCTTTTTGTAGTTTGGATCGATTAATTTAGGCAATAAAGCAGCCTATGCTAATTTTAACACACTATCTTGATTATATTGGTGGGGCAGGGAAAGTTAATTTTGTCACATTTTTAGTGACTTTGACAAATTTAACCAAAAATTGTCAAACTTGACCTCTAATGTTCTGTTCAACAATATTCTATCAGTCTTTTCTGAAAGAATGGTTAATTCTAATAGAGGTATAGATCTTCAAAATATGGGCAAGACATGTTTACTTTGTTACATCAGTTATTATAAGAGTTAGGTAATCGTCATCAGATTAAGAGATCTTTTTTGTAGTTTGGATCGATTAATATAGGCAATAAAGCATCCTATGCCAATTTTAACACACTATCTTGATATTGTTGGGGCAGGGAAAGTCAATTTTGTCACATTTTTAGCGACTTTGACAAATTTAACCAAAAATTGTCAAACTTGAATTTTTTGTGACAATGTTAACATCAAGTGATCTTAACTTGCATCAACTACATTGTCCTTAAATAAAGTTTTCCGCCTTTCAAACCATAATCAGATAATAATTCGCCCAAATTTAAAATCACAATATAAAATTCCATATATTGTGACAGAATTAAGCTCATTTCCCAATAACCAAGTGCCTGTATTAGCTAACTATTCAAAACAACATATTCTAGGGCTATGATTGGTAGAGCAACCATCAAATAATGAGTTGAAAGGGTTTTGAGGACACCTCACAGTAGAAAAGAGGTATGATATTCCGAGTGTGACAAAGTTACCCAAATGTCGCCTTGTAACCGTTCGATCCGTGCCCTTTAACCAATGTTGTATCATAATTGTTAGATTGACCTAATCTACTATATTTCAGACCAAGGAATGATAATTAGGCAACTGCAGTTAACTAAGTCACACAAAATGTGACATTTGAACCATTATAGTGCCTAACAACAATAGATTTTCTTTCTGAGTAGTGCATATGGGAGTATGGGTTACGTGGCTTATGTTCAGAGCTTCTGAACGTGCTAGGGTAAGAGATGTCAAAATTAAGCCACTATCGTCAAAAACGCTATTATTTTTATTTACCAATATCCTCAAACTCAAATGAACGTGTCCATATATTCTAAATAACTTTGCCTACTATGATCGTTTTATATATGTGGCTGATCTTAAGTTTTAGGAAGTTGGTACTATGCTATATATTATGAATGAGCTGCCTTTGGAAATTAATGATTACATGTCTAGTCATTGGACTCTGCAAAGGTGTATCTAAAAACTTTTCTTTTCAAACTGCAAACGTGCTTACGATATTGACACCTAATTACTTTTTTAAACTGCTACCTCTTTCAACTTAGCATTTCTCTAATTTTTCTACTGAACAGTGCATACACATCACACATTATTTTGATATTTTGTGTATCAAGTCTCATACTAATTTTGCATGGTCGAGAATCTAAATATGGAGTGCTTTTCAACTTCTTGTGTCCTGAATTGTTTTCGTGACACACCTGTGCATTTTAAGTTGTTGCATCATTTTAATAAGAGATTCATTTAGAGTCAAGTTATCGCCAAGTCGGCTGCAGTATTCTGTTCCTGCAGGGTGCATTTTCTTCATATCTACCTGTGTCCCTGTCACTGTCTCCAAACCCGGTCCATATTTTAAGCAATTACATATTATTTCTACCATAAATGAACCCTGATGTTAATTGTTATTGATATAAGAAAACAACAATTTCAAGAAAACAACAATTTTATTTAGTATCAATTAGAGCAAACATAAATATATTTATATATATGCGGTACCCCCAAATTTCACATCCATTGTTTCTGATGGTACATCGTTATACATAACAGACTGCTTTTGTTAGTCAAACAGCTTTTAAGTAAGGTAAGTGCTGTGCCCCTAATATCGTAGGAGTTTAACTTGCTCAGAATAATGTTGTGGTCAAGGGTGTTAAAGGCTTTGCGCAAGTCAATGAATATCCCTAAGACATGTTTATTGCCAGCCAGAGTCTTTGTAATGGAGTCTTTAGATTTGTGTAGAGCATGAGTGGTAGAATGGCCTTTTCTAAATCCAAACTGTGAGTCTGTCAGTTCCCCCTTTAGATATGGAGAAATTATAGAGCCGTTTGTAAATGACCTTCTCGAAAATTTTTCCGAATAAAGGTTATATTGATACAGGCCGATAGTTTTCAATACATTCCTTATTGTCTTTCTTGTAAATAGGAACAACTTTACCAGTTTTAAAAATACTCGGGAATGTACCACCCTGTATACATGTGTTATAAAGCCTGGCCAAGGTACCAGCAATGAGCTTTGCCGATTTGCTGGTACCTTGGCCTTGGATATAGTATTGATAGTAACTGACGATAGTAATGAAATTGTTGAAATTGCTGTTTTCTTGAATACTTGAATCAAGCGTTCTCAATAATTAATTAATAACAATTTCAAAAAAGGGGATCCTCCACATGTAGCTGAGACACCAAACAGCAAGTATAACAAAGTAGCTCTGGGATCATGTCGTCCGCAAATCTTACATAATATAAAAGCTACAATAAATTATCTCTAAAATTTACGTAAAAAACTTAGGAGACCTCATAGCTCGTCTTCTGAGGGATGAGATTGAAGGATACATTATCCAGTCCAATGTGCTGGGCTTTTTTGTCTTCCTCTGATTCCCCTGAGCTGAGTGCTATGAGTGTGCTTCATAGCACATTCGATTTTTCTGATAACCAACTTATATATAAAAGTTTGTATATATACTGAGTTTAAATTCTATAATAAACTCCTTCGGGCTGCATGATATTAAATTGTTTAGAAACCAATCCATGCACCCGTCATTGTGACATTCTATATTTGTGTCCAGCTGGTTTTAGGCCTGGGTTAGTGCCCCAGACATGGTAAATTGAGTACTAGTAAAACTCTAGCAGGCAATTTGTTCATTTTATCAACTGTACTGGTTTTAGTGTAGCCCTATGTCTGAAACCAGAATGAGGAGCATAGTTTCAATTGTCCTACTAGGTCAGCATGTTAAAAAGTTTAACTTTGTTCAGTTTTAATACTTTCAACACTACTATATAACAAATAATTTGAGGTCAATGAGTTATGTTACATGAATAAAAGAGAAGAGTTACAGGCAAAGAAAAGAAAGGCAGAAACAATTGGACTAATACTGCAAACAAGAAGATTACAAAAAGAGAAAGAGAGAAAAGATCAAGTAGATTGTGCGATCAAAAAATAACCATTGCATTCTTGTGATCAGATTGAATATCATGGTGAAGATCGAAATCAGTCCAGAGATATAGAGAGAGCTGAAGCAATTGGAAGCATACTGCAGTTAAGAAGATTACAAAAAGAGGGAAAAGATAAAGTAGATTGTGCGATCAAAAAAGAACCTTTACTTTCATATGCATGATCAGATTGAATATCATGATGAAAATATCAATAGTGAAAATGCCAATAGTGAAAACATCACTGGTGTAAACATCAATGATACAGAACCAAATCCGTCCTGTGAAAAGGTGAAATTTGTGATTGAGACTGAGGGAAACATAGACAAAATCACAAAAGACTTTTTACACTCGTTGGGAGAGAACAGCAGCAGCTTTAAAATGAATGTAAAAATAGGTTTATTTAAATTTGAAATTAGTAATGATGATTGATATTGTTAATTGTTTTGGTTTACTCTTATCATTTTATATCCTAGCTAATTTGGTCATGAGCTGGAGCCCTTTCTTAACTGTACTTTTTCCCAGATTTTAAAGTTAATGAATTGTATACTGGTATTGAAGAGATGTTAAAGCAGAGTGCTTATCATATTTATTAAACATTTCATCGTTACATTTTGAGTGAGATATAAAGCTTAAACTAAAACTGGTTGAAAAATTTTGTGTTGAATTTTTTTCAATTGAATCTTTGCAAATATTAAAATCTGTTATATAATGTTCATGTAATCGGGTTTTGTATATGACCCCCAAAGAAAACCAAAGCATAATCAGTTGTATTTGATACACTTATTATTTTGTATAATATTATAATTTATATTAACCCAAGATGGGTCCTTACTCACCTCATTCAGCAGTCTGTCCAGTCACTATATTAACAAGTTAACAAATATTTGGCATTTAAGTGCAGTACCGCAAGTTTCATGACGCGTAGCCTCACTTCAGTTGGAACCAGTGCAGTAGTTACTAAATAATTTCCCCTTAACCTTGTTACATTTTTAATTCCAAAAGAATTTAAATGTTGACATTGGAATGATATAATTGATAATAATACTTTATTATGTGATTAAATGAAGTAAACTTTATTATAACCACTGGATTAGTGTGGCCTTGTGTGTCCGCTCAAGAGACTAGACTTGCTGGCTCTTTTGGGCTTCAGCCTTCTGATTATTGTGTTCCTTGATAGCCTCATCCAATGTTTCTGAACACTCATTTAGTTGAGACAGAACATTTTCATAATCCTCCTCCAATAGGTGGCATCTCATGTTATGAGACTCCTCTCCTAATAAAGTTCTGATAATAATAATTAAAATACTCTTTCAGAATGATTTCTTGATTAAAGTATAATTTGACAAAAGTGTTTTTAAAGAATACTTTTGTCATTGTAATAAACCCATTGTAGTTACTAGTTATTCGATCACCTTGTCTTTGCTTCCAAATGAGAATCAACTAAGAAAGAAAGGTTAGTACTTTATTCCAACTTGTGCCTCCATTGAACGCAATGTATGTAAGATCTAGCAAAGTCCTTTTTATTGTTCAGTTTTAGTTCACATGATATAGCAGGGGTTAAGGGGCACAGCCCCAAAATGTTTACCAAAATTCAAGCTTCCTGAATCTAAATCATACCTTTAATTTGCATATATATAGACCCACACAGAAGTGAGGGTGACACCTCACATTTCACGATTCACATCCATCTCCTCATGAAAATCAAATAGACCCCTCATTCCAAAAGAAAGTGTGAGATAACTCACATTCTATAATTAAATGAGTGACACATATTTCATTATCTCAGGCAAGTATTATCTAAGGTTATAATTGGTATTTGAACGATATTGAGTAGATTATGAAAATTGATGGATAAATTTTGTAAAATTTATATATATTTTTGCACCGCAAGCACAAGGAATTTGGCCAAATCCTCTCAGTTTCAAAAACATCTTCTTGGTTACAGTATAACCTATTCAACCCAATTTTTGAAAGTAAGCATGACCATCAGGTCTCTGATGGATCTTTGTCAGCAGAAAATGTGTCGACTACATGATCTGAATTATGATGTGCTCTACATTATTTGGCAAAAACTAATCTTTGCAACCAAAATTAACAATATTTATTGATAGGTAGAATATGGGGCCAGGGTGATCCTATTTGGATATTTCTCAAGATATTTTTAGGCCATTATAGCACTTTAAAACCATCCCACCTCATCAATCATAAAGCATGATCTCATTTTATTTAAACTTTTAAGAGCATTTGAGAATGGAGATTTATTTTCACATCAACAGTTCATTGTTATTAAAGTTAGCGTCTCACCACTTTAAAAAACATCCTCCACTTTGAGTTTGAAGTTGAAAAAGTGACTTCATTTTCACCTATCGAAGGTTACCACAAACTCTAAAAATATCTTAGCATTATATCACTTAAAAGGGTAGAAGTGGTATGCTGAGATACAGATATGCTTTTAGGCTTTTACCTCTATCAAAACGAACAGATTATTATATTGTGGCATGTTCTGGTGAAGTAATGCTTTCAATCACTTAGGTGAGGGCACCTAAAAGTGTAAAGTGACGTGGGGGTGGGTCCAATAATTTAAGCTTTTAAGCCGTGAAAACAGCTTGCATTACAGTGCATAGTGTAGTTTTTATTTTAGAGGGTCAGTGACCACGCGGTACCTTGTTGGAATTTCAAAAACAGTTAAGCAGTTATAGGCCGAGGTTTAATTGTTAGCAGTCGAGTTGTAAGTATCATCATTCATCTTACAATTGTGCCTTATATAGAACATTTTTAGCCTCAACAAGGCATGATAGTCCTGACTAGCACTATAATGTTAGCCCTGGTCCATCGTTGTCGTACTGAGATAGTACCTGGGTCCCTTGAAGCTTGCACCATGCATGCTATACCTTCTCTTTAACCTGTCATATATATAATATATAGGATCTTATCCAGTGCAGTAGTGAAACTGTATTCAGTGAGTTGTAACTGCTGACTACCTTACTCGGGAATATTATGACTGGGATAAAGTGGTGGGTTTTGGAAAATTCCGCCATATTTTTCCCGGTCATTAATTTTCCCAGTCATAAATTAACCCGCTATAATGTTCCCGAGTAAGGTAAACTAATAGTAATACATTTTGATGCTTGGTGGGTTTTGGAACATTCCGCCATATTTTTCCTGGTCATTAATTTTCCCAGTCATAAATTAACCCGCTATAATATTCCCGAGTAAGGTAGACGGTAGTTATTGCAATAAAAAACAATTGATAATACTGTCTTGATTTCGGACAAGCTCACAGCACATTACATAAATGCTTTTTACTGCATGCATGAATTGCATTGTTATCGGATATTATTTGATTTGGATAGTTGTTTGCAGCAAATTTTGCTGTAGAGTGTAGAAAGAATTGCCATTAATAGCTTTAGACATAGCTTAAGACTGAATATGATATGAACTAGTATATTTTAAAGGACGGTTAGCAGTAAATCTTACTTTTATTAATTACCCTGCAGCCACATGTTAAAACATTATCATATAATATAAGTGATTTTTTCTGAATAGATTTGTTTTTTGAGATGATCTAGTTGTTTGTTGCTGAATATTTTCACCTCTATTCACAATTTAGAACCGCTCTGATATGGTTGTGTCAGTTGATATCCATATTGGCGTTAAACAAGCACATCATTTCATTTAATTTCATGCTTTAACATCTTATCATATTACCAATCAAGGCCTAATTTTATTTAATTTTTAGGAGGTGTAGGGTGAAACGAATGTCCCACCAAGTTTACAGCCCTATTGCTTTGATGAGTGGCAACTTTGCAGGAAGAAGAACGTAAGAACAATTAATAATATAATCATTTCTTTGAAAATATCTTTTAAGTTATCAAATACTTAGTTCAGAAAATACCCTTATCAACGAGTATAACGACTTAGCAGGAATCTAATTCGATTGAATTATGTGCTAAATCTTGAACATTTTCGTGATTATGATCAGGACACAATGTTTGGTCTCTTACATCTCTTACTTTTCAGGTCATCACAGTCAAAAGCGAAAGTATACACAGATGTTAACTCTGGTAAACCCAAAGAATACTGGGACTACGATAGCCACATCATACAATGGAACGATCCTGACAGATACCAGCTGATAAGAAAACTGGGACGGGGAAAATATAGTGAGGTTTTCGAGGCACAGGACTTGAAACTCGATAGGAGAGTTGTCTGTAAAATTCTTAAGCCTGTTAAAAAGCGCAAAATAAAGAGAGAAATCAAAATACTTGAAAATGTAAAGGGTGGTCCAAATGTTATAACGTTGATTGAAGCTGTTAAGGATCCCATCAGCAAAACTCCTGCACTAATATTTGAGCATGTCAACGCAATCGACCACAAGCAGCTCTTCCCAACGTTCACTGATTTGGACATTCGATATTACATGCATGAACTATTGAAAGCCCTGGACTTTTGTCACAGTATGGGGATAATGCACCGCGACGTCAAGCCCCACAATGTTATGATAGACCACGAGAAGAGGACCTTGAAGCTGATCGACTGGGGTCTAGCCGAGTTCTACCACCCTCTGGAGCAGTACAACGTGAGGGTCTCCTCCCGACACTTCAAGGGTCCGGAGCTACTTGTAGACGATCAGTACTACGATTACTCACTCGACATGTGGAGTTATGGGTGTATGTTTGCTGGCATGATCTTCAAGAAAGATCCTTTCTTCAACGGTTACGACAACCACAACCAGCTTCATAAGATAGCAAAAGTTTTGGGAACTGATGAGCTGTATGAGTACTTGCAAAAGCATAACATTGAACTAGATCAAAAGTTAATGGCCATGATCGGACGTCATTCCAAGAAAAGGTGGGAGCGGTTCCATACCTCTGAGAACACTCACCTGATAAGTCATGAGGCTCTAAGCTTGCTTGATGGCCTCCTTAAATTCGACCACCAGCTACGTCTCACCGCCAAAGAAGCCATGGATCATCCATATTTTGATCCGAATAGAAACACAAAGCAATAATGCCTGATAATATAACGAGGCTGCACATTAATGATGCGGCCTGTACTTCACTGGCGCCTTGCCAAAGTGTACCTCCAACTCGGGACGATATTGTAGATCCTAGAGATAGTAGTCTGTTCCATTTGTTTTATTGAAGTTTTGGGAATAGTTTTTAGCTTTTTAATTTTGTAGTATTGAAACAAATTTTACTGCTATGAAATTGTCAATTGATATGATGTCATGTCAAATTTTAAGAAAAATAAGACCAGCGGTGACAAGATCATCCTAATTTTCAAGATTGTCGCACATGATTGTCGCACATGGAGGAAACGTATTTGGGGTAATGATTCCCATGGCCATGATTAGTCATATTTGACTTCGCCTTAATTGCAGACATCAATCTTTACTTCTTACATACTTGTATTGGATTATATGTCATGCAAGTTGCTTGAATAATTATGCTAAAAATGCTCGTGCGGTCAAACGTATAGACGTTGATTATGTTTGCTTTCAAAAAAACTTGACCTGTACCTGTTTTTCAATACAAAGTCTAGCCTGGTAATTAATACTATTTAAGAATGTAATCGGGAATTTAAATATTTGAGACGGCAGCCTCCTTAGCATCTGAGTTTATTGATATGATGATTCAAAATTTCATTCTAAGAATTATAGTACTCCTTATAATACTGTTGTAATCTTAACAGACTCTTGCTCCTAGCCAGTGCTTAACTACTACGATAGTCTCGCAATTATTTATATATAATACGACATTATAAATGGTTATAATAATTGCTGCAGCTCAATTTGATTTAAAGTCAATATTGAATATTTTATGGGTGCTCGGAGAATGAATGTTTGTGTGGTAATTTGTTTCTGTACCTGATTTTAAATGCCACCTTACACTGCACCAATTTGAAATGTAGCAGTGTCTCATATTTTTCAATATTATGAATTATGATAGCTGTAGTATCTTGATAATGAATAGTGATTCGTCATTTCTAAAATGCATCCAAAATGGTGCTGTGTCGTATTTCATATCTCCAATGCAATTCTCAATAACTATTTTATAAATTTATCAAGCGATTTCTGAGCTTCAAACATTTTATGGGTTTAAATTGCCTTATTTGGTAAGTTGTTATGGCACCTAGCTATCAACTACCATTTGAATTTGTCAACTTTGGCATATTAATCATCACCCAGGTTTAATTATGAGCACGTTGAAGTATAAGATATCAGAACGAAACTTCGTTTTTAATTTCAATACCTTCTCTCTGATTAATATATTATCCCTAATTGATATCCTCTTTCTGAGGTGAAAATCTGAACTACCAGTGAATAACTTTCCTCAGTATTATCAAAAAGATTACCCAAACATCGTCAAATAACTCACTTAGCATTACCTAATGATTAAATCTCATTTAATAAGCTTCCTAAAAATCTTATCTCAACTCTGACAGTTTCTAACTAAAAACACCTAGGAATGTTGCAAGTATTGTCTCTGAAGGAGATAGCAGAATGGCTGGGTATCTCCCCCTTCGAACTGTCCCTCCAGCTTCTCTCCCTCCTCACCACCTCCATCCTAATACCCATGAAACTGGAACATGACGTCACGTTATCCTGGTGGACGGTCTTCACGCCCATCTGGATCACCGATGGAATGTGGATATATTTCAGACTTATCATTTACCTCAGATTACACTTTCATTACACGTCACGTCGCCACCGGGGAATCTTGAAATTCTTCTGGATAATAACGTTTACCGCGCTGTTGATATCATTTGAAATGTTATTATGTCAGCACCTTGAACACTCTAAGTACACCCTAACCACGGTTTTTATACCCCTGTTCATTGTATTGGGACTTCTTTTAATTAGGTCGTGTATATATCCCAAGATGTCGGGTAGTCACGACGCTACCGCAGCAAACAGGCGACCAAATGACCATGGTACGGGGACATTAGGAGACCGGATGAGTAACATTCATCTCTAGATATGTGTATTAGGTATATTGTTATTGTTTGAGCGGAGGTTTTCGGGGCTGGATTTAGTGCTTTTTAAAGAGATATTATAGTAAAATGTTGTGGGACAAGATTATCCTTCTAGGTTGTTTTTGTAATATATATATAATGTCGTTGAGTAAATTTCTAGATTTCCCCAATTTGAAGGGAAAATTGTTCTCCCTTTAACGGTATGATTTGTAAAGTTTTAACATGACCTATCCTTCATTCGTCGACTATACCGTATTTAATCAATTATTGTAGAGAGGTGTTATTATTATTATATTACCTCTGTCGAGCCTACTCATTTTAATTTTTACCTTAAAGAGCGTTTCTACTGCTGCACCTTTAATGGTCAAATGATAAGTGTAAAATGTTGTATCGTCTGCACCGTCAATCAACATCCGCCATATCTTCATGGTATATTGTTTTACATTGGGGGCTCTCTACAGTTGTGGAGTATAACAGAGGACTGTTGTACGATTTATTGTGTATATATTATATATCAACTTGAATACTGCTTTTTACTAGAAACGAGAGGTAAATATTTATAGAGGTTAATGAATTGTTTTAAGAGTAAACGCTATTTTTACAGAAGTGAGAAATACGCCGCGAATTGTGGAGTGTGATGAAATGTTTTCGTGCGCTTTGGAGCCGAAATAAAGTCGAGAGTAATGCCGTGTTTTGACTGTATATATATATATATAAATATATATAGTTCGATTTAAACTCCTAAACATGAGTGTTTTGAGGAAAGAAAACCTTCGGATTGTCAAACATTTGTGTACGATTTGTTTGTAATGGGAAATTTAATATATTACAAGGGCCAAGTAAATAATCAAATCAGGAATGTGGATTGGTAACATGTAATTGTAAACCTCATTTAACGGTGTCTTCTCTGGATAGAAGACCCCTGTTGTGAACCATATGAATGATAGAATGTGTTGAATTTGCTTTTTAGATAATTGTATTTCTATATACAGTTTTGATGAATGATATATTTTTAGTATCGGTGTCAAAGTATAGCTCATGTTATTGTTTATTGAAATGTTATTCAATGTGACACGTTACACACAGCAACCACATTATACGTGGAATCTCAAAATATCTGTAATTCGATCCACCTGAGCACTAATTTTGAAACGCTGCCAAGGTTAAATAAAAATGTTCTATGATGCATACTAGAAATGTAACTTCTAATAGTAAGAACGTTTTATTCTCAAGCAGGAAGACATTATGACAATAGTTCGCCAACAGTCGGCACCTCTCTCCTCTGTTCCTCTACAAATACTTCTCTACTACAACTACTATTACTTCTCTCTTTTTTTCATCGTTGAAATTCTCGCAATGGTGTGGAAAGGTTTGTGCTTCCTAGTTTGTGTGCTTTCTAGTTCCTTTTAATCCTACCTGATGGTGTACTCTTTCAACCTTACTGTGAGTGATCTTGAGGATAATGATTTTAATGCGTGTACCTACGATACATTTTTGCATATTGATTAGTGCTACTACTAATGTTATTATGCTGGTTTATCAATTTTCATTGTCTTCAATTTTGCACAGGCTGTGTGAAATTAAACCGTTAATCTATGACTTAAATTGTCGTCTTTACCTATTCTGTTTACAGTACACAAACTAAGCACATCCAGGCTACGGAAAATTGGATCGTTCTCGATTTGTCAAATTTTGGTGACAGGCGGTAGAAGTTTTCTAGTAATTGATAGCACAGGCACAAATTTTACACATCGATAAGTTGTAGCCAACAATCGGTCACCTAATTGATTAAGACATGTGGAATTATCTGGAGGCCGCGTAAACTTTAATGTTAGGGTCGTTTCTCAAGATCTTTCGATGCGCGCCTATTAGCGCGCGTATATATAATTTCCGTTTGATCGATTGAGTTGAATTGTGCTGAATCATCTGTATCATGTATCATGTATAATTGTCATGGTAAGTTCCGGGCTTTCTCCAAAATTGAGCTTCCATGCGAAGTTGAAGCAATTCACCTAAGAATGAACTAGAATACACTTACTTTCCATTCCCATTGTATTTTACTTGTTAATTTAGTTCTTGTGCTACCTAATAATTTAATTATTATGCTTCATCAATATTGATGACTGGTCACTGTCTAATTTTCTTAATTTCTTATTCCTAGACTTTATTATCTTCATTTTTACGTTCTGACACAAATTAGGTAATACATTTCCACATTCCAGGCACAGTGTTACCCTACGCTTCCTCCACCCTGGCCTCTGAGGTATCTCTACTGTTCCTCTACGCTCTTTGTGAAGCTATCCGATTGTATACCGGTAAGTTTATTGTGTATGAACCAAGCAGCTAATTAGATTGGTGTAGTTTTGTTGTTAAAGTGAGGACTTGTGACCTAAACCCACATTATGTAGTGAGTAACCATTGTACTCAAGAGTTGAGTTTAACTCAAGAAATGAGGTCCCAGACTTTGTTAATGGTGTCAGAGTTAGAGAAACTCCAAAACTAGTATACTTTCTATTGAAAACATACGTTTCACATCTTTTTTCAGGAAACAAAGGAAACTTGACCGAGACAGCGTTCCCAATGATCGTGTTCCTACTTCTGACTCTTCCCATGATAATGGCTTATGTCTTTAACATGATATTCCAGACTTATGTGTGAGTATTTACTCACATCAACCGTTCATATTGGGGGCTTATTTTGGGGTTCATTTTAAATGACACAATTACGACATCAATTTATAGAGAATCTTAAAATTAAACAAATGTAATGAAAATAGTGCGTCTATTTCGTTTCCCTCAATATCGTTCCCGAACAGTTTTCTCATATTCATGACTTTTCATATCATCACATTGTATTCTACAGGTTACATCTAGACGCAATCATGTCCTACATTGGTATCGGATTCTGTGGACTAGAGTTCATACTTGGTATCGTGGCGGTCATACAGTTCTCCAGGTACAGAATATCCATTTGAGGCATTTAAATTATATGCATGCATATTGATTGAAATACCGAATACTGATTGTGGTTGTAGATTTAAAAAGTTTAATTTGGTGTAGAAAAAAGAAGCTAGGGGTCATTCACATATGACGTAATCAGCCGAGGGGGAGGGGGTTTCCAAATGTCAATGATTACGCTAGTGTTGACATACGTTGCATGCCACTTTTCGCGCGCGAAGCGCCGCCGCCGAACAACGCTAGTGTAATTTTGACACAATAGCCATCTGTAAAACTTATTACGGATGAGGGGGGGGGGGGGGGGTAAAAATCGATCGTTCAAAAAGTGATTACTTAATATGTGAACGACCCCTAAGCAGTTGTATTTACACATATTAACGCCAATTTGTTACGGTTAACGAATATTTCAGATCTGACCTCACGCCTTGATGCATCGGACTCTCCTAAAGTTCTCTCGGAACATCCCTTCTCCACCTCCCCAGATATCCCATCAGAAATTCCAGTTATATGAATCTCCACCACCCCTCCCCAGTTTTGAACCCCGGCAGTTGGTACTATTGAAGACAACCACTGCTGAACAGCCTTTGAGACTTGTGAAGATTGGTCCAACGACCGTGTTTACCGAAAGTTATGAAAAAATTGTCTTAAATCAGGAATTAACGCAAAGTGTGTGGTATGGGTTACTCAGAACTATTTTTATAACCATTATATTTAACTGTAAATATTATATTTATTAAGTGTACATAAGCGTCTTGCTTTAAATTATTTTATTACTGACAGTGTATATAGTGTAAAAGATATTTATAGCAAATGTATTTAACATTCAGAATATCGATTTCATAAACGCCATTAAGCTTTGACAGCAATTAATTATTTTTATAATTATCGTACATGATCAGTGTATAAATTACATATTTTATATTTATGCATAGATATCCCAGCCTATTTGATGTGTTTGATATGAATTTAAAAAGCGAATTCAGACAAGAAAAGGGTTTCCCAGAAGTTAGTAAGTTAGTAGTCACCCAACATTTTTTATCAGAGAAGCTATTATCAATTATGTTTACAGCCATGAGCGCAATTTGAGAGCACTTCGGAAATATTAAAGTTCAGAATTTGGCTGATATAGTACAGTGTATAGTGTATAGATTAATTGTCATCCTTGCGCTACTCTACTAAGTACGAAAACGGCCCTACCTGATTGTGCCGCCATAAATCGATTACAATATCCATGACGAATTACGAATTTGATGGCCAAGCGTGCTCAGTGCTGCATGACAGTACTACAATGTATTCATAAAAAGGGGTCGTTCACATATTACGTAGTTACGTATGCGTAATCAGCCGAGGGGGAGGGGGTTTCCAAATGCTTACGGTTGA